AAAAAAAATTGGTAAAACTCTTTAAAAGGATTATTTTAGTTTCTTTTTTATTAAGCCATTCTGGCCTAAAGAAAAAAAACTATGAGAATGACCATATATATCTAATTTATTTCAGGCCTGACCGAACCCTCCAAGATATCGTCTTCAAACTCGTTCCTGGTCTCTATCAAGGTATGGCATGCAGTATGGTAATTCTTTGTTATCATCAAAACTCTGGTAACAAAAACGTACTGTTCCAAAACCAAAGCGATCACAGATTACATTCGACACCCACGAGTATTGAAGTTTGATAGGGGAGAATTGATGCCACGAACATCGACATGAGCGATTGCGCGGGAAAAATTGTGTCAATTTCTAAGCCATGCATGGTGCTGGTACCTTCAAGCATCATGGCACGCAAGCGCGACAAGCGCATTTTGCGAAACTGACGTAGAAACTCCTAAGCTTCCATTTTATGAATTCTGGCAGATCAGAGAACAAGAAAATAAATAAAACCTGAATAGCTGACGGGTTGAGACTTTTGTGCCCTCCAAAAAGAACTGCGCGCCGGCTGCACCAACTTTCCTCGATACCAACAGCAAGGCGTTTCTCTTAACCTTGCCTCTTAGTCGTACCACCAAACTTCTCGAAGTTAAGAATTTTGAAATCGGCTCTTTAAGTATCCAATACTGTATATCTAAAATAAATTCAATCCCGAATTTGTTTAGCTGAACTGAAGCTTCGACATGACTTCGAAGACAATGAAAGAGAAGAAAGAGAAGAAGAAAAAACTTCAGGTAATTCATCGAGTCTCGATTGGAAATGCAATGAAACTGTTTCCTTGAAGGGTTTTTAAGAAGCTAGCCCCTTTCAACATAGTGTCGTCATCTGTTCATGAGGGCGTTTGTTTGCTCGTTTAACTTTGACTGTTTGATTGAAGGGGGTAAGTTTCGAAAATAACTGTGGCGCTGCGTCAGTGGGAGAGTATAACATGGTAATTTGGTATTATCAACTGAGTTGATAACGCGAATTAGCCACTGCTACGAGTTTCAAAGCTTTGAAACTCTTAGCAGTGGCTAATTCACGTCATCAACTCAGTTGATAATACGAAATAACTTTGAGCTTGTTTGTTTGTTTGTGTTTGTTTGTGTTTACTTGTTTGCTTCTTTGCTTAGTTTCTTGGTTTCTTGTTTGCTTGTTTCCTTTTTTGCTCGTTGCTTTTTTGCGTTTTTGCTTGTTTGTCTGCTCTCATGCTTATTTGTTTGCTAATTTACGTGTTTGTTTGTTTGTTTGGCAAAACATTCTTAGTCCGCGTCTTTCAGTAAAAGGACTTCTCGGTTAGGGTGTAAGGGTAAAGTTAAATTGTAATATTTGTCTCTCGAAAATGAGGTGTGAAGACGAAGCATTTCTTGTCCTACTTTTCCTTATCCTTTGAGCCAATTTTCCTTTTTTCAGACGAAAACGTAGTTCCGGGTGATATCAAGGATAAAAAGGAAGTTGAGATGGAGGATCCGGTGTGTATAACGCTGGAATACTACAGGTAACAATTGAACCGATGAAAAACAACAATCCATCATTGCAACGAGTTCTCCTTTTCCGATCTGTTGAGGACCTTCTTTCTTGTCTCTTACTTTCTTTCCTTTTCCTTAAAGGCGAAAAAGAAACTGGTTAGAAAATCAGGTATGGGAAGAAACATGTTAGTGATTTTAATAAAGCAAAACATTTCATCTTTATCGCTTTGATTCTAAGATGGTTTTTCCTTTTTTGTACCTTCTTCGTCCAGATTTTTCCTACTCGTTATCTCCGATGTCCTTCTGCGGTAACCGTCGATGTATTAAGAAAATTTCTAATAACAAAGTTTGCCATTCCAAACACACATCAGGTACTTTTTTTGACCTCCTTAATTTTGCTTTTAATCCTTTGTATGGAATATTTTTCCGAATGAAAAAATGGAAAGTATCTTTAAATTTCTGTTGGGTAATATTTCTTTCAAGGTTGAAATTATCCGCAGTGATGAAATCTTAGACGGTCAGCTGACAATGAGAGAAGTGTCCCGGATATACGGGCTATACGCTAAGGTATTAACAAATAAAGGAACTTTCAAGGTGCTCTGCTCTGTGTAAAGCGACTGGAGAACGAAAGGAGTGTAGAGAAAACACGAGAAGAAGTAGAGGCTTTCCTTTCTACTTTTGAAAGTCGTTTTCCTGGTTGTACGAGATATCTGAGTAAACAAAAGAAAAAAACGTGAGAGAACTCAGGGAATTGGTCAGCCATTGTAAAAATTGTGATGCGTGACTCCACTACATCGACCATCTGTATTCTGGCAAGTACGCTGTTTCAGCCGATAAGAATGCGCGTTATTTAGAAACTCAATTATAATATACAATAAGAAAAAGATAAAGTTGTATTATATGCATACATGCAAAATGCAGAAATGTACTAGATGATTTTTAAAAGACATAAACTCACAAACACTCTTTTAAAACACTTTGTACTAAAAAGTGGCATAAAGAATAATACTGTAAATCGGTTGATCACTGTCAGACTGACTTCAGTATATAAAATGTCTTACCGAGATGTACTTATTTTTCTTTAGTGGCTTCTTCCAAATAGTGTTTGACATTTCAATTATATTCCCACAGTCCTTTCTGGATCTTGAATACGCCATCTTGGAAGTGGGAGCAAAGGAGGAACCAACCAAACCACCAAGAGAAGAACTCGATATTATTCGATGGAAAAAGATCAAGATTAAAAAGAAAAAGAGAAGAAATAAGAAATTGAAAGAAATGATAGCAGCAGAACTATTAGCAAGAAATGATACTGTTACAGAATCAAAAACTGAACTTCCAAGTTTACCGGAAGAAGTCAACGACGAACCTTTGATCAAAAATGACATTTTGCCAACATTTCCCGATACACCCCCAATGAATCTTGATCACGTGCCGTGTTCGCAACATATCGATTCTCTAGCATAAAGTTACGTGAACAACGCGTGATCGATTGATAATGCGATTACAAATTGCTTTGCTAACCGGGTTTTCCGTCAAAATAGTAAGTTTCCATGGTTTGAACCTGAAAGAAAAATTTGGAAAAGTGTTCGGGATCCTTACAATAATTTTTTAGCACTTATCATCGAATGGCGCCATCCAATTCAAACGAACAAAAGCTCTTTCTACGTTGGAGTAGTTACGGCAAGATTTTTTTGAAGGTGTTTGAGCTTCTCCTCCATGAATCTCTATGGGAGTCTCCATCTTTGCTTCAGGCCCTTCTTCCGAAAACATATCCATTGTCATCGTTAAAGGTTTGAACAAGAATATAGAGAAAAAAACATTAAAAATTGTTTCTTGCGCGCTGAACAACAACTGATGATAGCTAATGTTTCTCGCGTTCTTTGTTGTCTCTACAAGTGCAATTCTCAACCACATTTCTCACTTTCTTCATCTCCTCATTTCCTTCTCGCGGCTTTTTCGCCTGCTTTCTTGCTCTCTTCTCCACCCCTCCCTCCCTTTCTCCTCCTCTTCGGCACCCCCTCCCCTCTTCGTTATGTCCCTACTACTTTGCTTCCTTGCTTCGTCACTTCTTTGGCCGCCTCGGTAAGAACTCACCTATGGAAGACAAGTTTTTTTGAGAAGGGAGGATATCACTCGAAGAGCAGTGAAACTCAAGAAAACAAGCCAAAATATCATCATGGATCTATTAATGGTCATTTTCAGTAGTTTAATTCGAGATAAGTAAAGAACGATGCAAATTCTTGCGCCTCGGGGCATAGTTTAATTTAGATTTGGAATAAATACAATATCCAGGCCTTGACTGAATATTATAGCGGGGGTAAGTTTCTTAAGAATCTGTGATGCCGTATTGGCGGCGGTAAGATTGAAATAATTTGAGTTGATTAAGAAAATTAGCCACCGTAGGGAGTTTAGAAAGCTGACTTTTCGAGCGTTAGCCCTTCGTCAGAGTGCTCTGTACAAGGGGCTAACGTCGAAACGCTAAAAAAATACGTATAAAAAATAAAAGATTTGGAGTTAAAAGTTAAAAGTTAGACAGAAGAAATAATTTAACACAAAAGTACTTGAGGTCCAACAACACTTAATCAGTTGATATCGAACAAATGTCCACTGAATTTTATCACCTCGTCATTTTGTGAGAAAGCTGTACTTTTTACACCAATTGATATGTTCAAGGCTTGATAGATATTGGGGAAAAAGGCTGAAAAAAAATAAACACAGTAAATCGAATAAAAACGTTGACTAGTTTGTGCCGGATTAAATAGAAAGAGGTTTACATAATCTAAAATATCGACACAAAGCTAAGCATTTAGGGCATGCAGGTAAAGAAAAAAACAACTGAGAAAGCGATATAGAAAGATTATCTCTCTACGGAAAATATGATATGTTTATCAATAATACTACCGAGGTGGCTATAATTAATTATGTAACTTAAAAGGTCACGGTGGTTATGCGGCAACTCAAGACTGTAGCTTGACTACGAGACACGACATATGTTGGCCGGCATTTCCCAAGCCAATTTCCATTTCCCTTATATGTTTTTATATATTTTCCCTAACGCAGACCTTTATCCTTTTCTTAATCATATATTTTATTTTCAAACTCGTCCACGGTGATGGCCATAGTGGTTTTCGGGAGGGTGAACATGTGCCGTCGTTCTCTTAAGCCTTACCTCAAATTTCACCAACTTTGTTCCAAGAAACTTGAAATGGTAGAAATAATCAGTAACCATATTTCAATTCTAAGAAGGACGAGTTTCAATTTCGGTTCTTCCTAGTTATTTAGTTTTACACGGCTGGGCTTATCGTGAACATGCAAGTCATCCATAAATATTTCTCGTCTCAGATTCAAAATATTTCGTTTTCGCAATATTTGAGAAAATCTCTCTATGGAGAATACTGACCTTTAACTTTAGTTGATTTCCCAACTGCCACTAAAACCTAAAATAACAACATTAATTTTTGAAAGTTGTTTTGCATCTAACAGATCGATGTTTACGCTTTATGCACCTCAGGGGAGACTGGTGCGACTGTCACGTGATTAAGCATATCAACAGCAACGTGTGTCTATTTGAAATCAACTCGAAGCCATCAAGAAATTGTCAAGAAAAACACGGTAATTTCTTAAGTTATATCGAGAATCTTAGCCTAATTTTCACAGAGACGTTAGATAAATTATTTAACTTTTGATGCAAAGTATTTTTTTTCAGATTGAAGCGATTTTGGTCGTATATTTGTTCTTTAAAATGTTGCGTTATTTTCAGTTATCGGACCGCAATGCAGATCATTTCGTGACCAAGATGCGTCAGACCAAATACATCTAACGCACTCTTTCGGCGAAATGGACATTTCATCGAATACAATTCTATCATCACTTAGAAAAGTTATCTTACAAATAGAGACAATTTAGAAGATTGGAAATCGTAAATGCTCTGCTCGGATACGAACAAAATTACAACCTTATTTTCGCCGATTGGCAGAGCTACTGATTCCCGATTGAGAATATTGGCGATGTAGCAAATTTTTTAGACAGTAGATTTTCTGTGAGTCGCAAGTAATATTCCTATTTTCGATAATGATGTTTAATTTATCATCTTAATGGGCTCCGAGCTTGGAAACAATTCTGGGCTCTGCTGTAAATTCTTTTGAAACCGAAAGAGAGAGACCAGAATGCATGTTCCAACTTTCCGTTACTGGAATAAATTTCGGGCTTGAAAATTATGCGCTTCGTTTGTAAAGAATTCAAGTCGCACAACAATACAAGGAATTTCAAGCTCGCTTGTCCTTTAATTGCTGCCCTTTGATAGATATATCGAGGTTTCGTTTGGATTTCCTGTCTTAGTTTGTTTCCCATGCTTTCGTCTGCTGTCACCTGAGGTCCTTTACGGCCTCCTCCGCTAAATACGGTCAGACTTCCAAACGCAATCGATAAACATTTATACTTAATGTTGATAGTGGTTAATACAAAACGATTAAAAATTTTCTATGTTTCTAACCTTCGGCTTTCAAATAGCTAGAAAACAGTCTAAGAACTAAACACTTTTCAGGCCAGAAATGTTGGCCAAATGTCGAACCCAATGCTTACCTGTCATGATAAAATCTTGAACATATTACTGAACCGCGGAACTGTGATCTATATCAGTTCCAAACCATCTTCACAAGTACAACTAAACCAAATGCCACCATTGCACTTAAATTGCACATACCTGATAAAAGACTTAGGGTAATAAATCTACACTAAAAAACTACGCCAAAATTAAGCTTAGGCTCTTTACAGTACGTGAAATCACTTCGTTGGCCGAGATCCACTCTACAGGCTCGTCAACTGATGTAAAAGAGATCGGGTGCAAGAGAAAGCTTGTAGACACGTGTACTTGAACCCTATACTTTGGGATCATATTCTAAATTTGTCAGTAGCCTGCATAGCTGGCTTTTTTGTAGGTGTGATTTCTGCCGTTTGTTTTTTCTTATATTCGATAAAATGAAGGCGACGGAGCCTTAATAGAGCCGCTAGCAAACACTGATCTCGCTGCTGAAAATTCTCACGAATTCCGTCAGCTATGTAGCCTGTTTTAATAAAGCTCTTGGAAAATCATGGCACTTAGGAGCTTTAAAATTAAATGAAAATAGCATTGTTATATTAAGAATGTCAGAACCGTTTAGTCCTCAGTTCAAAGGTAAGCAGACTTCAAGAAAATGAGAAAAAAAATTAAGCAACTAGGCTTTACAAAAGATTAGTGTTCGAAACTTCCGTGCTATTTATCATCGCTCTAGAGAGAAAAAATCTTGTGAATAGAATTAAATACAAGCCAAGGCCTGTTTTATTAAAAAACATGATTTTCAATTCTGTTTCGACGAGAATAATTCTGTTTCACAATCGTATTGCATCTCTCGCTTTGGCGAAATTATTCAGTGCCTGGCGAGGCTTATGATTTAAGTTCCATTGCAGAGATTTTAGCCCTAGTTTTTCTACGATTTGGATTCAAAGTTTGTCTATCGATGTTCATAAATTATATTTCTTGTCGACATTTCTGCGTGTATGGAAATATATGTTCAGCTAATTCTGCTGGCAGGTATGATATTTATACTCGCACTTTAACCGATGATGCCGGCTTTTTCTGACGGTCTTGTTGTTGATAAAGTTTATCAGCGATAGAGAAGCGTATCCGGATCTTTGAAGGAAAAAATTCAAAAATGCCTTGCCTCAGTTGAATTAACTCTTCCGCTGTCACTGTGTTGTCACTGAAGTGAATTTATTAGCTTGTGGCGGTTGAATCATGGTTTCGTGGCCGCTACGGTTCTTGTAGCTCTCTTATAGAAATTTAAATCGCTGTTAAACATCATTCCTTAGAAGTATGGCTAGGTCGTGTTAAAGAGACTGATGGTGTCGCTTCCTATGTTGAAGAATTTTTTCTTGTCTTATGAAGGAAGTGGAAGACATAATTTCGACGGAAGATGTTACGGTCCGTGAAGATCCAAGATCTAAACTCTCACATTGTGTGCGTGTTATGTGGTGGATATTTAGTGGATGCTACAACTATTGTCGAGTGCCTGCATTCTTGTAAGTAAAACGGTAGTACATGGTAAAAAGTATAGTAGCAAATTTTAAAATGGCAAGTTCTCGCTAAGAACCTAAAATGGATAATTTTACTCCGATTCTAGACTTAAGGCTGTTTGAAACCCTTCCTCTGATCTCCGCAACAATTTAAGCCAATTTAAAGAGTTTCTGTCATCCTTTCCCTAATTCACTTCGCCAGTATGAGGTTACCTTAGATTTTCAGGTATTCGAAGACCTGTGCCTATCGATAGCAGTTTGTTTGCAAAATATGATAAAAATTCCTGCAACAAGGAAGTCTTACAGGAACACGGAACTTGAAGCTCCATTGAATAAATTGACTCTACGTTGGCAGATGATAATCATCGGAATTTTGTGATCAGCGAATATCTGTCAGAATTGCTTCATCAGAGAGTTTTTTTTTTTTTTCATCTTCTCGTGGTGCTGCCGAAAGCTAGCATTGGACGGTACTGAACTCGAAGGGAAAAGTTTTACAGGTCTAAAACCACATTTGGCTTCGGTTTTATTCCGGCTTAGTATGATAGCCTAATCGGATTGCCGGATTGTAATCTTCTACAAAAACACAAACACTTCACCATAAATACTCGTTTAAATTTGCGTTATGTGTTTAAAGGAACATTTGGTAGCCCAAATTGATAAAAACAATCGAGCCAAACTAAGTTATTTGGCTGAAACGGTTCGCAGCCGAACTAAGTCTGGTTGTTTCAGTTATGTTTGTTTATCTGTTTATTTTATTTATTTATTTATTTATTTATTTTTTTAGTTTGTCGCAGCTGCATTGTAAAATATCTCCAAGCATCTTATCACTGTCCTGTTTGTGATGTTGAAGTCCACAAGACTAAACCACTGCTAAATATCAGGTTAGCATCAAGGTATTGTAAACTTCATAAAGCGCTGTTCATTCCTAGTGAGTTAAGATTGTACCGAAAATCTATCTAAAAGTAGGGAAATCCTAGGGTTAAGAGTGATGATGAATACCATTATTTCCGGAAAACCTGCAAGTTGCGAAAGAAACAAACAAGAATCGTTTTGCTGGTCAAATAAAAAAGCAATTATAAGATGCGTTTAGTTCTTCATCGATGTAGATCGACAGACGAACGTTCGAAACGTCAGCTTCAGAAACTCTTAATCAAATTTTCTATTTAAAATGTAGTTTAACTCACTGGTTGCTGTTTTAAGCCTCTATTTCAGTTTCGTTGCGCGGTTAAAATGAAAGAACTTCAGATATTCTCGTCTAGAATTCCCTAAACTGCGCGCCGAGAAGGAAAAGTTGACATGTTTGGCTGCACCTCGTGGCTTACAAGCTTTTTTCGTGTTTTCCCAACATCCCGCGTGGTTCATATACGCCGGCAAACCGATACAAATTGTGGTTTATTGCTCCTCACTGACGCAGCACGACAATTTGAAAAACTTACCCTCATTAAGATAATGATCTGAGAGATCGGGAATAGAACAAGACTAATTAAGCCATAAGACAATAAAAGCTTAGCTTAATTGTATTTGAAAAGATAACATGAAGCTCGTTAAAAAAAAAAAAAAAAAAGATGACAATAGCTGAGACGTCAAACTTGGCTGAGTTGAATTATAAGTAATTTTAGTCTAGAAGGGTTAAAACCTGTTCAATGACAAATCTTCTCCGTTTGGACTAAAAATCATTCAGTGATTTTTTTTTCAGGCCAGACCGAACTCTCCAAGAAATTGTCTTTAAACTCGTTCCTGGGCTGTATCAAGGTAATGTAACATTGTCGTGACTTTTCTATTATTCACAACAAAATTATTTTGAACTATACAGCAAAGGTTGTAGAAGCAACAAGTGACAAAGGAACTACAGTTGGAAAGGAATTCATGCACTATGTCAAATAACAAGGAAATTTCAGGGCAAAGTTCATGAGATCCAATCCTTTTGCGCTATGATTATACATTTGGTGATTTTTACGTAGGGTAAAAGTTTTTCAATGAGACGGTTCCGGTAATTCCGATAGACACGGATGGACTCCAGTGGATTTTGATTGACTCAGTCGGATTCCATCCGACAAATGGATTCCATCGGAATCCATCGAACAATATTTCTGCCTTCTCTGATGTTCATCTGACTTCCGATACTCTTTCGCGTCATGACTTCCGGTTATCTCACTTCCGTTGGAAGGTGTCAGGAATAGAATTTTGCCTATTCAATTGAAAAAAAAAAAAGTTTTCCATCGGAATCTCTCGGTGTGTATTGGACATATATGACGGTTTTCGTTTATTTTCCCCATCGCTTGTTACAGACTCAGGATTGGGACTCGGCAGCTTTTTCTACGACATGCTTGCAAAGTATGCCGACAGCAGTTAACGTCTCACATGAATTATCTTTGAAAAGTAGTCAGTAGTACTTCACATATGTATTATTGACTTTATCACGTCTGGCAAAGACAAATCCCTGGCCGGTCAGTTCAGCCGGCCATCGCAACGCCCGAGAAGTGTTAAACTTTCTGTCAAGTAGCGAAGACCTTCTCATCATTAGAAAAATTCTTGTTGCTTTGTTTAAATTCTGCTCTGAATTTTTCTAGCTGAGCTCAAGCTTAGAAATGAATTCGAAGAAAAGCAACGAGAAGAGAACAAGCCGCCAGGTAATTTTTACTGATATAAATGATTTAAATACTTTTACACCTAGTCGTCTTCGCTCAAAATTAAACCGAGAGAGTGCTTCAGGCTGAGGAGACATTTATCTCGATGTGACAGTTAATTAACAGCTAATCACCGAATCGAAGCCACGGTGGCTAGTGGTGGATATCAGGGAGTTTAAGAAACGACGACGGCGACGCTGAGGACAAAAAATGAACTTATATTTTACCTACGAATCTCGTGATGCTCTAAAGTCATTTAGTTTGTTTCTCACTGTCAAAACTATCTCGAAACTTTGTTCTCAACGTGACGACGCTGAGGACAAAAATTAACTTATATTTTACCTAAGAATCTCGCGATACTCTAAAGTTATTTAGTTTGTTTCTCGCTGTCAAAACTATCTCGAAAGTGAATATGGAACACGGCGTTAAATTAGCAATAGAAATTTTAAAAAAATTATCCGTCGTCCTTCACGTTCTCCACACAAAGCAAAGTTTGTCATTTCACGTTGTTGTTTTACAGAGGACGCATAGAAATTTACAAAGATTTATAATGCACGCGTGCAGCCATTGTTCTGCTTCTAAACCCTTTTTTTTTTATTGACGTTCACGTTGCCGTTGCCATCATGGTTTTCTTAAGCTCCCGATTTACTAAGCCGCGTTATGAAGCGGTCGGGTAGATACCCACCTCTAGCCGCCGATGCTGATGTGAAAAGTTGTTTTATTATATACTGAAACAGTGAGATAATATAAAACAAAAAGATGCACTTGCACAATGGGCTCATGCAATTTTGTTGTCTTTGAAAAATTTTAACGCCAAATTGCACTCGAAATTACGTTGTTACCCATATTTATTAGCGAATTCAGCTTTAGCGTGGAAGTAGAGTAAACGGTTAGACGGCGTGCACGCTTTTCTTCTCTTGTTTAGAGGAAAACGAGGCCGTGAATGAAGTCACGGAGAAAAAAGAGATTGAAATGGATGATCCAGTTTTCATCACTCTGGAATACTACAGGTAAGGCTTACAGACAAAAGCTGCTTTGTTTCACGGTGGCTCGTGTTGAATTGCCGTAAGTCAAACAATACACGTTAAACAATTTTCATTTTGGATCCTCTTTCTCTCTGTACAGGAGCAAGAGAAACTGGTCGGAAATTCAGGTATGGTGGACAGTAGGAAATTCGAAACGGAGCTTATTTTCATCTTTTCATCATCTCGTTGGGACGAAATGTGGCAGGGAAGGATATTTGGACATTCCTTGCTGAACTCGTGGCACCAGTAGTGTTGAATTTCAAAAGCCTTTCTTCTGATATGCTGCTGCTTTACTGCTATAACGTCTTCTGTCGCAAGTTTTACGGCATCTAGTAAATCACCGCACACTTTATGCCTCTGTGTACGCTTGTGTGAACACAGCGGTCGAACGTCGGGCATGCGCGAAGAGATCAACCTGGTCAGCCAATTTCGAAGGAAAGCATTAGAAACAACCGCTGTCTCGCAAAAAAGATTATAGCTCGCAACTTAGTTCACATATGCGCGAAGACTGACCGCTGTTTTATCTCACATCAAAAGAGGACAGATTGTTGTTCCTAATTAAAACCACACAACTGTCATGTGACTTTTTTTCTAGGTTTTTCCTCCTCGTTATCTACGATGCCCTTCTGCGGTGACTGTTGATGTGCTGAAAAAATTCCTTGTAGCCAAGTTCGCCATACCTAACACGCATCAGGTTAATAGTTATTCTGCTGTTGATTCATTGCTTTTTTAAGTCAGAGACAAGGGGTCCAGCGATCGAAATCGACAGGTTCTGCGAATCGTGTCCTAGATCACTGCATTGTGATCTTGGATAAGACACCATATACGTTTAACTCTTAAGACGCCTCTTTCCACAAAAGG